GCGGCGGCCGCCCGGCGGCACCGTCTCTTGCTCCTTCGTTCGCTCTCCGCGATCAGGAAAAGCCAAGCCCGGAAACCTCAGCAACCCGCCCTCCAAGATGAAGAAGCTCCAGGCAGCTCACCTCCGCAAGGTAGGACGCGAGGGCGGGGGCACACCTGAGGGAGGGGGTGCAGAAGCCCGCCCCCTGGAGACCCCTGGGAAGGCTGGAGAGGGCACCTGCTCCGGGCTCGGGGCTCTAGGGTAGGCCGGCTGAGCTGGATTGCAGGGAGGGGCGGGGTCACGGTCTGCGCGGGGTTTGGGGGAGGCCTCCCCTGTCTGGGGGTCGGGATGCAGTGTGATGGGGGCGGGGGTTCACTGGACCAAGTCCTGTGAACAGGTGTCGGCAGCCACAGGAGGTGCGTGGTAGGGGTGCTGGGGCCAGGCACCCGCCCCTGCCCAGTAACCCCCTTCACTTCCCCCACGGCCTGATTAGGGGGTGGGGGATGTTAGAATAGCTGAGCGCCAGCCATGAGCGGGACTGATGGGGATGGACAAATGGGAGTGGGGGCTTCGGCAAACCGAGCCCTCATCTGTGGGCTCCACACGGAAGCAGCCTCCGGAGCCAGCAGGGGCACGCTGGTTTCCTTCCAGTGCTCCTGCCCTGCTGCGCCCACCACCTGCTTCCTCCCCACCCCCCTCAGTCCTTCTGCAGCTTCAGCTTCCACGCTCGACCCCAGGCTGCCCCTCAGCCGCGCACAAGGAAGGCAAAGGCAAGGAGGGAGGAAATGGGAGACCTGAGGGACATGGAGGTGGGGTAGAAGCTGGCATGAGAGGGGAAGCCAAGTCTATGTGTTCTTGGGGCCCTGGGCCCAGACCTCAGCCCCTCTCCACCTTGTCCTGTGGGGTTGGACCTCCCAGCCAAGCTGCACCTGTATGGGGAGGGAGAGTGTTGGGGGAAGTTTTCTGGCTTTTGGCTTAAAAGTACGCGTCTTAGCCAAGGAGTCAGAACTCCTGGGTACTGTTTCTGCAGATGCCACTTACCCTGTGACTTTGGGCAAGTCCATCCCCTAACCTGGGCCATGGCGGGTCCATCCCCAGTGTGAGGCAGGAAAGTAGGCCCAGAGTCCTGAGAGGTGGGGAGATGCTGTGAACTCACAGGGGCTGGTGGTGTTGGCCAGCTCCCTCCAATAACCACCCCCTCCTCCGCCATTCATTCAAGCTCTCTACCCTTGGGCGGCTGAACCACTGTGATGGTTCTTTTTATTCGCTGACATGTGTGACTTCTTGGGGTCGTTTGTGGGTCTCTTGGGTCTTCTTGAGTCCTATCCCTGTTCTTTCCCATCTACTCTCTCCCTTTCGCTCCCTTCCCACAAGGGCCCCTGCCCCTCTCTGGCACAGGGCTGCTCCTTATGTCAATAGCCGTGTTTTGTGAGGCCTTAGCTCATGTATTCCTCCAACAATTCTGGGGCCCAGGTCTTATTATCCCCACTTTATAGACAAGGAAATGGAGGCACAAAGGCGTGCAGCTTACTGCTCTCCTGAAGGTGGGCTGAGCAACCTAGGACCAACAGGGCAGGGGTGGGGCCACCTGGCCTCAGGGTCCCCTCCCTCGGTCTCTAGGACAAGGGGGCAGGGAGTGAGGAAGTGCCAGGTACAGCAAAGGAGCAGCATTGTTCAGAGATGAGCACCAGACTGAGAACTGGGGCTCTGGATCCTGATTGTGCTCTGCTCTGCCCTTAATTTGCCGTTTGACCTTGGGCTCACCCCTTCCCTCTCTGAAACTCACTTTCCTCATCTGCACAATGATGAAGTCAGACTCCAGATTCATATTGTCTCTCTCATCCTGAAGAAAGTATGAGAGCCTTGGCTTGAGAGGTCCTACCTATTCTAGGCCTGCTGCTGCTGGTGACCTACATCTGCTGGTCCCTAAAAGGGGGGGCGGTGCAGGTGTTGCAAACTCAGATGTGTGTTCCTGTGTGAGTCTGGGTGGGAGTGGGAGGATCAGGGTGGGAGCCTCAGACCCAGGCAGAAGTGTGAAGCAACTCATTAAGCTTCCAGCCCTTCCCTGTTGATTTGGTTGCTTTCCTCTGTCTCTCAGTTAGTTCCTTCCTCTCTATGCCAGCCTCCTGGGATTTACCCCACAATGGGGTTCAGATTGGCTTAGCTTTGGAGGACCCCATCCCCTGTCCCTGGAGCAGGAGCAGGAGCAGGCTTCCCTCTGATTGCTGATTGGGGTGGAGGGGGACAGAAGAGCTGGCAGCATCCTGCTCTTGGAACTCTTTTGTCACCATGGAAACAGAGAGCCAGGACCACTCTGTGAACACAGAAAGGGCAGTAGCTTCTCAGGGGGGGATCAGAGGAACCTCATTATCAGGCCCTCCTGCCAGCTGGCCTGAATGGAACTGGGGGGTTCACAGGGTGACAGGCCTGCCTCCCCACCCCATACCAGGGGCCAGTTTCAACTGGCTACCCCATCCTATTGGAGTTTACCTGGGAGGGAGTGGCTCCAGAGAGCTGATGCTCAACTAGCTGGAGAGGAAGCCTTGGAGACAGGGCATCAGGGGGTAGGGGTGGGTTTCATAGAGGTCTAGGAGCTGCTGCTACCCTCAAGCCAGAAGGTCTGAGATCACAGCTAAAGAACCACTAATAAGATATTTGTTTCAACCCTTGGAGTTACTTGAAAAGCAGCTTTTTTCCACTCTCCATTGTCACCATCACCCATAATCATGCCAGGATGCCCCCATCACTGCTCCTCTGGCCAATAACCAGCCTCAGGTGGGATCACCACCATGGTTGTCACCATTACTGAGAGTCAGCCCAACGCTGTCACCACATCCTGCCACCTGAGCCCATTGCTCTGACTGTCACCACAGCCAGACACCTCCAGTCCTGTGACACTAGGACTCTCACCATCTTCATCCCAGCAAGGCTCATATGACAACTCCCCAGCAAAGTTTCCTCTGTCACCACCTGATTTGTGTATAGATACCTACTTGGGCTGATGCCAGGAAGGGCAATTTTAGGGGATAAAACAGATCTGGGAGTAGCTGTTTGCTGAGTCCTGTGCTTGGATCTGATCTGGTCCTCGATCACCGCAGTGAATTCTCCTTGGTACATCTTGCCTCACAGACCATCAGAGCCTGAAGACTGTTAGGTAAAGATTATCTAGACCTGCGTTTCCACCAAGTATGTCGTGACGTGCTACTCCTTGAAGCCTTTTTCTTAAATAGAATTGGAGAATACTGCCTTTTCTAGTCCCTATTTGGAGTCACGGTGTATATTGGTCCATTAAAGGATCCGACAAGTCCTGCAGCAAAGAAACCTTTTTTACCTTGTGATAACCCAGCTTTTCCCAAACTTTTTTGACTCAAGAATCCTTTGTGTAATCAAACACCCACGAACATTTTAAGGGATGTGTTTCCTAAAGTTGCGCAGTGAATTGGCACAGACCTGGGACGAGGATCGTGGTTTCCTGAGGCCCAGTCCAGTGGAATCACTGTTTGCCCACAACCGTTCCTCAGCAGGAAGTGGCGGGGGGTGGGGGGATCTTTCTCCTCTCTGAAAACCATGGATGTTGTTTGATAATTGGCCTTCTTTGCAGCCCCGTCCTTCTCTGCCACGGGGCATGGCTTTCAGAAACAAGCAGGAAAAGTGTAGCTGCCCCTTTCGCCTTCCCTGCTCTGGAGTCACTTCTGGAACTGCTGTCTGAATTTTAGACAGTCATCCTGGTATCTCTCGGCTTCCTTCTGCGCCCTAAGCTCAGACAGCTCACGGACATGCTAACTCACATCTCTCAGGCCAGGATTCTAAGCCCTAGAGGAAAGCCTCCATCTTCCAGCCCCAACCTAAGAGAGAATGCCCACTGGACTTCCCCACCCTCCTCCAATCCCAGGAGGGGACCTTAGGGGCATCTGGTTCCCGTTCCCCTCAGTGCGTGCATCTCTCCTCCAGTGATAGGAAGATAGCTTTCTGGGACACATCAGGGCTTCAATAGCTGCTTCCTCCTCGTGAATTAAAATCCACAGTCCTCAGTAGGCCTCCTGGAGCCACACAGCATAAATCTAACCCCAGGGGAGCCCACATTCCTTCCATGTCCCATTCTTTCTAAGTTAAGGGCCCGCGCTGCTTCCTTTTGTCCTCCTATAACCGCTTTTCCTGAACACCCTCCAGTCCTGCTCCCTGGCCTGTGCGCATGCTCCAAACTGCCTGTATCTTTCTTAAAATCTGGTGCCGGAATGGAGTAGCCGAACTCCAGCATGGGTGGTTGAATACCTTGGCTTCAGCACCAGGAAGCTCTGGGCTGGAGACCTGGCTCTCTCACTCGCTAGCCTTGTAAAAGCTGTGGGTGTATCATGACACCTCTTTGAGCCTCAGTTTCCCTTAGGTGAGTACTTAGCTCAGAGAGTTGTTTTGGGAATGAAATCAGGTAAAATATTTAGTGCAGTGAGCACATAGTAAGTGCTCAATACATGGGAACTGTTACTAAGATCATCATCAAAATAGGACCATCCCTTGGTTTGACCTTTGTGTTCGCCAAACTAAGACCAAGATGGCCTTCTTAGTGCCTGAGCCACCCTGCTGTTCTCATAAGTTTGTGGTCACCTAAAACCCCAAGAAGCTCCTGCCTATTAACCTGTCAGCCCAGGTGAGAGCAGTTGATTGTTTGAACCAGTGGATTTCTTTGCATTTGGCCCTATTGATTCCATATTCTTGTTTTGGGGGGGGTGGTCACAGTTCCAGCCTGGCCTCACCTTTCTCCCTCACCCCTTTGGTCTCTCTTACTGGCAGCCCGACACCCCAGACCTACTGATGACCCCCAGTGACCAGGGCGATGTAGACCTGGACGCGGACTTCACGGCAGATCGGGGCAACTGGACAGGCAAGCTGGACTTCCTGCTGTCCTGCATCGGCTACTGTGTAGGCCTGGGGAACGTCTGGCGTTTCCCCTATCGCGCCTACACCAACGGAGGAGGTATGCGCCTGACGCCCTGCTTGACGGATGTCTAGGCTAGTGGGCCAAGATTCAGGGTCCCTCCCTCTCTCATTCCCAGCACGGATACTCACACGGTTATCTCCCTAAGCCTTGGCACTTCCTGGGCCCCGAGTGATGGGCAGGGGGGCTGCCTCTGCTTTGTGATGAAGGGCTGTATCTGCCTATCAGTGATGACTGTGCTCTCAATATTCTCCCATCCCCTCCTCTCCTGCCTTACCTCCTCTGGAACCTTGCTCCATCAATCAGTTATTCCTGCTCTAGAATCTTCAATCTAGCCTCCTCTCTTGGTTCCTTCCATTCAGGCTGAAAACACAACATCTCTTCCATCTTAAATTCTCTGTTCCTGCTTCGCCATCACGTAGCTGTGCTAAGTGCTCATGGGATTGAGCACGCACCGTTGGCCAGGCCGGGGCTTGGTGCTTTCCATGCTTGTCTCATTTAACCCTGATTGCAAGCACCTGGGTGGGTACTGTTTCCCTGATGAGGCAGCGGGGCTTGGAGAGGTCAGATTCCTTGCCCAAGGTCACATGGCGGCAACCCAGCACTCCACCCCAGGGCTGTCTTCTCCAGAGCCAGTGTGCTCCCACCAGCACTCTGTGTCTCCTCCCACCTCTACCAGACTCCTTACAGAAGCGCAGTTTGTCAGAGCAACAGAAATCCAAATAAGACTAGATGAGGCAGCGACAAGCTGAATTGGGATGACTGGGAAGTATAGGGCAGGAGCTGGCCTCCGAAGCTTCAGTGATGTCCACGGTTCTCTCTGCCTCCCCCTTCCTGGTTCCCGATGCTTTTTCTGTATGCTGACCTCATTTTTCCCTGGGCCAGGCTTCCTCCTTGCAGGTGGGTCGGGGGTGGCCACAGACAGCTCTGGAATGACTTCCTCCTCAGAACTGCTCTCTCTGAAGGCATCTATATAGAATCACAGGAAAGGTCTCTAATTGGCCTGGTTTGGGATAGGTGCCCAGGAAGAGGTGGGCTGGGGTTGGCCAGTGTGCCTGACAGCCCTTCCAGAGCCATATGGTGGTGGGCAGTTCTGTAAAGGAGCTGGCTGCTGATATGGGAAGAAAAGGGAAAGTCGTGGTGGGCACATGAGACCACAGGTGGCAGCCACAAGCATCTGAGGTGGCACTGCAGGGAGGGGAGAGGCAGGTAGACTGGAGCCAGGTTCTGAGGGGCGTTGGATTCTGTTCTGAGGGGTTTGTACTTTCTTAGGCAGAGAATTCACTCATCCATTCGCTCATTTGTTCATTCGTTCACTCTGTGTCTGCTCTGAGCCCAGCCCTGGTCTGGGCACTGGGGCTACAGAGGTGAGTAAATCCCCGCCCGCCCCCTTGGTCCTCAGTGATGTCCTGGCGTAGAAGATGGCCGTCCTGCAGTGCACAGCCCCAGTCCAGGGGAGAAGTGGTGTGTGTGCCGGTCAGGTGCAGGGCAGGGCTAGAGCTGGGCTCTGTGGGAGCCGACCCCCCTGAGACCCTCCTTGCCTTCCCCTCTTCTCGCAGGCGCCTTCCTCGTGCCCTACTTCCTGATGCTGGCCATCTGTGGCATCCCCCTCTTCTTCCTCGAGCTCTCTCTGGGCCAGTTCTCTAGCCTGGGACCCCTGGCCGTCTGGAAAATCAGCCCCCTCTTCAAAGGTGAGGCCTCAGTGGTCCCCGGGGTGTTTTGAGCCTGTGGGAGGCATAGAGGTTGTCCCCCAGCTGGAAACCTCTGGGCAGAGAGGGAAGGGGAACCCAGAAAGAGGGTAGCTTCCTTGGCCTGAGGGCCGCCCCCTGCCCCCCCACCCCCGCCTCGCCCAGGTGCCGGCGCCGCCATGCTGCTCATCGTGGGCCTGGTGGCCATCTACTACAACATGATCATCGCCTACGTCCTCTTCTACCTCTTCGCCTCCCTCACCAGCGACCTGCCCTGGGAGCACTGCGGCAACTGGTGGAACACAGACCTCTGTCTTGAGCACAGAGGCTCCAAGAATGGCAATGGGGCCCTGCCCCTCAACCTCACCAGCACCGTCAGCCCCAGCGAGGAGTACTGGAGGTCAGGCCCCGCAGAGGCCAGGGAGGGACAGAGGGCAGGAATGAGTCCCCAGGGGGCTCAGCGTGCACCTCAAAGGCTGAGTTCAAGTGCCAGTGTTAGGTGGACTCTAGGTTCTAATCCCAGCTCTTCACCTGACCAGCTGTGTGACTTTGAACAATTTATTTGGCTGCTGATGCTTTATCTTCGAAGTGGGTATGTTAATAGTATTTGAAGGTTACTGTGAGGATTAAAGGAAAGAAGGCATATAAAGTGTGCCATCCAGCCTGGTAGGTAGTGGGCGCTCAATAAATACTAGCTGGTAATAATGATGCTGATGATGACAGTAATAGTCATCTTTTGGAGCCTCAGTTTCCTCCTCTGTACAAGGGGGTAATAATAATCTCTGCTTCATAGGATGTTATCAGCCAGTGACTCATTCATTCATTCTTTCAGTCAGATTTTACTGAGCACGGACTAGATCAGTAGGTAAAGCACTTAGCAGAGGCCACGATCATACATAGTAGGGATCATCTCAGGTTAGTGTAACAGGACGGGAGACTACAGTAGAGGAAGGGGTTGCTGGGAGAATTGCACAGGTAATGCAGGTAAAACCCTGACCATGGTGACAGGCATGCTGTGAGCCCCTGTGAATGGTGGGTGTCAGGGGGGCACTGCTGCCCATTGGCCTGTCCCAAAGCCCCAGTTTATGGTTGAGAAAACAAGGCTCAGAGGCTTGCTCAGGACTAACTGGCAGAGGCAGCACTGGCACCAAGGAATCCTGATCCCTGATCCTGTTCTGGAACATTCCAGAGTAGCCTGGTCCCTAGGTAGGGAGCCTTGGCTGACCAGAGAACACAGAGCATACACTTCCAACAGTTTCCCTGCAAAAGGCTGCTCTTAGAAATTTTCCCCTAAATGAGCCCCGTGTCTTCAAATGTTTTGGTCTCCAACCTGCATTTATTACACAGTTCATTCATTTGTCCATTTAAAGGCCATCCAAAGTGTCTGCACCTGCTGACTGGTGGGTAGAGACAGGCTTGGGTCTGCAGCTAAAAGCCAAAGAACATGACGTGGTCACTGGCAGCTGCCAAGGGTCTCCATGAAAACACCAGGCCCACTGCATCAGTTGGGGAGCGGGCAGGAAGCAGATGGCAATCTCACAGGGCTTCGCTGAAGGGAGTTTAGTGGAGGGACTTCACAGAGGTGAGGGAACCCACGTGGAAGGATCAGGCACTGGGGACCAGCAGGAGGGACAGCCACCCCTGAGCCAAGGAGGCGAGTGGAGGGACTAGTGTCACCAGAACCAGGGGAGACTTGAAGCCTTGGAGGAAAGGCTGCCCAACAAGAGCTGTGCCAAAGGAGACGGCAGTCACAGTCAGACCCTTTGGTGACATGCGCGCGTGCATGCGTGTGAGTATGTGTGTGCATGTAGACGTGTGTGCAAATACCTCAACCCATCACCCAGTCTCCTGCTGTTCCTTCCCATTAGCTAGACCCAAATAGAAACTGAAGAGGAAGGCAGCCTGGGTGATGGGGTCTGCAGAGGCCCACCTCCTGGGTGCAGAGCTGGGCAGCAAAGGACAGAGAGGAGTCAAATAGACAGTAGGCAGGAGAGCCTTGCCGGCTGGCCGCAGCTTTACTCCATGTCTATGGAGCATGGCAGGGTGACCAGAGGACACTCAGACCTTCTCTCCCACAGCCGCTATGTTCTCCACATCCAAGGCAGCCGGGGCATCGGAAGTCCCGGGCAGATCCGCTGGAATCTCTGCCTCTGCCTGCTACTTGCCTGGCTCATCGTGTTCCTCTGTATCCTCAAGGGTGTGAAGTCCTCGGGCAAGGTGAAGCTGGGAGGCCTTGGAGGCCTGAGGGACTGGGAAGGATGAGGGCTTCCTGGAGGAGGCGGGGTGTGAACTGAGCCTAAGAGGTTGAATGGACTTTAACTGGGAAGAGGGGATGGGAGAGGACGTTGAGACTGGGGGAGGCAGGCACTGCCCGAAGAAAGATGTGGAGGTGAGGCTGGATGGTGGCTAGGCTCCCTCACTAGACTAGAAACATGCCAAGGGCAGAACTTATCTGTTATTCAAGTTTATATCCCAGTTCAGTGCTTGGCACTTTGAAGAAGCTCAGCAGGTGTTTGTTGAATGCTTGGAGGGTGGGTATGAGTCAGGGTTACTTCACATTCAGTTGGGAAGTCCAAAGTGTCTACTTCAGGCATGGCTGGATCTAGGGGCTCAGTTGGAGTTATCACGACTGTCATTCTCTTGGTCTCTCAACAATGCTTTCCTCTAGATTGGCTTCCTCCTTATGCTTCATTCTTTGTGGGGCTGCCCCTAGCAGATCTAGGCTTCCATCTTACCTGCTTAGTGACTGGGTCTCTCTTGCCCCAGGTTTCAGAAATCCTAGAATTAAGCCTTTCTGGATAGATGGCTCTTATTCCCATCCCTGAACCAGTCACTGTGGGCAGGAGGGTGGAGTCCTCTCCTTGGCTGGGCCAGGGTCACATGCCCACCCCTGGAGCTGGGAATGGAGTCAGCCCCAGGTGGAGAAGTCAGGCTACTGTTATCTGCAGAGGCCAACTGGATGCTGGGGAGACAAAGGCGCAGATGCCTGTTTGGGTTAGGAAGGGCCATAAAGCTGTTTCAGAGGGACTTGGAAACCCTCTGAGTGGTTTACTCAATCATTTATAAATTAGAACGTGTCCCTCTGCAAAGTGCTGAGAGATGTTGTCCTGGAGGAAGAGAACCACTAAAAGAAAGGCTAGAAAGACAGTGTAGGAACCATTTAGAAAGACAGGAGAGTAAGCGGGGTGCAAGCGAAGGCAGTGAGGAGCCTGACACTTGGTAGTGGTTGCTGAGGGAGGGGCTGGAAGTTTGGGATCAGACGGAGATGGGGCCGGGAGGAGTCTGGGCATGTCCATTGTCTGATGACCATGTGGGCTGGGCTTGAAGGGGGGCGTGGACCAGGGCGCAGTGGAGCTAGAGAGAGTGGATGGATAGGGACAGCCTTGGGAAGCAGTGTTGGGACCTTGCTGATGGGATGATGTGTGGAGGGAGGGAAGGAAGATGAAAAGAGAGCATCCCGGATGATGGCTGTCCCCAGCTTGGGCTCCCTGAAGGTTGGGGAGGCACGTTAGTGAGATGGGAATTTCTGAGAGGAGCAGGGAAGAGAGAGGGTCACCCCCTTCCATCCCCACTTGCTGTCTCTCAGGTGGTGTATTTCACGGCCACGTTCCCCTACCTCATTCTGCTCATGTTGCTGGTCCGCGGAGTCACCCTCCCAGGGGCCTGGAAGGGCATCCAGTTCTATCTCACCCCTCAGTTCCACCACCTGTTGTCTTCCAAGGTGAGGCCCTCGAAGCCGGCATGCGGAGGGAGGGGTCAGGCCTGAGCTGGGGGGTGGAAAGAGAGCTTCCTGGGGAAAAGAGGGGCGGTGGGGGAGGAATCCTCCACGTGGTGAGCCCCCTGTACCAGGCACTGTGCTTGGCACTGTGTCTTTTTCCTTCATTATTATTCACAATCCTATGAAGTAGACTTTATTCTCCCATTTTACAGATGAAGAAACCAAGGCCCTAAAGCGTTAGTGATGAGCTTAAGGTCACATGGCTAGGGAGTGGCAGAGTCGGGATTCCCACTGAGATCTGTCTGACTCCAAACCCCAAGGAGGGCATAATAGAACCAACAATGGTACTGACAGCTAACGTTTCTTATTTACTAACGGATGACTGTGCCTGAGCCTGCTCTAGCACTTGGCATATCGGTAAGTCACGTAATCCTTACCACTGCCCTCTGAGGGAGGTACTGTTCCTATCCCCTCAGTACAGATGAAGGTCCAGAGGCCCAGAGAGGCGATGTGGCCTCCCCAGGCTACACGGCTAGAAAGTGGTGGAGCTGGGAGTCGAAGCCAGGCCCCTCCAACTCCAGGGAAGTAAAGGGGGTTATGTGGGCTTATTGTCAGTGTGCATCTACTGAAAATTTACACAAGGCGCTGCTTCCTTCAGAATTGGATCAAGCTTAGAAAGCATCTGCTACACCCTGGATGGGGAAATGAGGCTCAGAGAGGGGAAGGAACTTGCCCAAGTGATGGAGCAGGGCCCGTGTCACTTGTGAGCCAGGCTCTTCACCGCAGCATCCCTGGACCTGTCAACTGGCTCGTGACCCATCTCCTTCCTCCTCGGGACACCACGGTGTGCCAGCCCCTTCTCTCTGCCCTCCATCTGCACCCCTCCCTGCCACAGGTGTGGATCGAAGCTGCTCTTCAGATCTTCTACTCCCTGGGTGTGGGCTTCGGAGGGCTCCTCACCTTTGCTTCCTACAACACATTTCACCAGAACATCTATAGGTCAGTGCTGCCTCCCAGACCTGTGGGCCCGGAGTCGGGAGGGCCTCGCAGGGTGAGGGTGGGGCCTGCTCACGCTGGCCTGTGTCTGGACTTCCCCGGCAGAGACACCTTCATTGTTACTCTGGGCAACGCCATCACCAGCATCCTGGCTGGCTTTGCCATCTTCTCCGTGCTGGGCTACATGTCTCAGGAGCTGGGTGTGCCTGTGGACCAAGTAGCCAAAGCAGGTGGGCAGGCTGCTCGGCCCTGGCGGGTGAGGGTATGTGTCGAGCCCAGATGGGCTGGGCAAGAGGGTGTATGTGTGGGCCAGCAAGGTTGTGGGTGGGTGTGTTGAGTGTGCATGTGGGTGTGTGGACACACGAATGAATGTGTCTTAGCTGCTGTCTGGGTGTCCAAGTGCAAAGGGATGGGGGTGCGAATGAGTATGTTTCTATCTGGGTCTGGAGATAAGCGACTCTCTGTAGGAGGTGGTCTTCTGTTTTGTCAAGCCTTAGAAGCTTGCCCTAATTGTCCGAATGAGTCACATCCTGTGTGGAGATGCCTTTGCTAGTGAATTGAGGGTTTGAATGGTGTTGTGAGTCAGTGTCTTTTGTCAGTGGAAGTGCCTGAGTATGTGTGTTCATGGAATTGTTTGTGCAAGTGATTGTGTACATAAGCATATTCAAATGAGGCTTTCTATTTGATTTTCTGTTTACTCATTGCTCATTAATTCATTTAATTTATCAGCCTGTGTTTGTAGATCACTGACAGCGTGCGGGCCTGTCTGGAGTGAGTGTTGGAACTAGGCAGTGAGTGTACGTTTCTGCATTTGGCCAAACTAGCGTGCCCAGTGAGTGTAAGCGACCGTGTGCGTTTGAGTATGATTGTGGGGCCCCCGAGTTCCCCAGGCTGCTGACCCCGTGTGCCCTGGGCCCAGGCCCCGGCCTGGCCTTTGTCGTCTACCCACAGGCCATGACCATGCTGCCCCTCTCACCCTTCTGGTCCTTCCTCTTCTTCTTCATGTTGCTGACCCTCGGCTTGGACAGCCAGGTGAGCTTGTCTCTGCCAGTGGGTGCGCCTCGTGGTGTGTGTCTGTGATGTGTGTGTGTCTGTGTCTCTCTGTGTGTATCTGTGGGTGTCTATGTGTGATATGTCTGTGTGCATGATATGTGGGTGATGTGTATCTCTGTGTGTGTGTGTGTTTGTGTGTGACGCGTATGTGTCTCTGTGTCTGTGTGGTGTTCTCTGTGTGTGTACGTGTGTGCTGGAGGCAGAACTCTGACCCTCCTCCTCTCCTCCCCCCAGTTTGCCTTCCTGGAGACCATTGTGACAGCTGTGACAGACGAGTTCCCCTACTACCTGCGGCCCAAGAAGGCTGTGTTCTCGGGGCTCATCTGCGTGGCCATGTACCTGATGGGGCTGGTCCTCACCACCGACGTGAGTGGCGCTGCAGGGTGGGGGCAGCCAGCGCGGACGGCTGGGGCAGGCACCTGCAGGACTGTCTGTGGCCAGGCTGTGCGCTCCCCGGACTACCTGCTTCTTCCTCTTGGGAGGAACCTAGTCCACCCCAGGCCCTCTCTCCCAGGGGGCAGCTTGGCCTATGACCCAGAATCTTGGCTTTGGAGTCTAAAAGACCTAGGTTCAAGCCTCGATCCTGCACTTGCTGAGTGACCGCAGGACAAGTGGCTTCACCTCTCTAAACCTGTTTTCCCACTGATAAAATGGGGTCTATGTCTAGGCTGGTTTTGAGACTCAAGTCAGATGATAAGGGGCTTGGCAGGAGGACAGCGGTCACACTGTCATCATCTTGCCCTCCCCGCCAGCCTGGCTGCTTCCTGCTCGCTTTCTACCTGGAGAAGGGGTTGCATTGGGGAGTGAGGCTGAGATGAGGGGACCCCAGAGCTGTGACTTGTATTCCAGGGCGGCATGTACTGGCTGGTCCTTCTGGACGACTACAGCGCCAGCTTCGGACTAATGGTGGTGGTGATCACCACGTGCCTCGCTGTCACCCGGGTGTATGGTGAGAGGGGCTGTGGGAGGCAGAGTCAGGCTCCCCACAGTGGGAGAATGGGCATCTACCCTGGATTCCCCCTGTGCTGGGTCCCTGGTCCCAAGGGCCAGGGTTTCTGGCGGGGGCAACTGGGGTGGAGGGGGCACCGCTGGTGCTTGTGGGGCCTGTGGGTGGGGCCATTCTCCTCCCTTCCCTGTGCAGGCATCCAGAGGTTCTGCCGGGACATCCACATGATGCTGGGCTTCAAGCCGGGCCTCTGCTTCAGGGCCTGCTGGCTGTTCCTGTCCCCAGCCACGCTCCTGGTAACCGGGGGTGGAAGGGAGGGCTGCTGGCTGGGGGCTCGGGGCTGAGAGCAGGGCCTCTCTGGGCATTCAGTCTGGTAGGACCTCTGTGGGGGCAGAGGGGTGGGTTGGGCACCAGGACCCAGGTCTGCTCCCCTCCTCCTTGAGGCCTCTGGCTTCTGCAGTTGTGCTGGGCCCGGCCCTGTGTTTGGTTGGCAAAATGACTGGGCCTTTCTCGGGCCTCAGGGCAGGGGCCTTGAGGCTATGCTTCTCGGCCTTAGGGTTGGAGCAGCTCAGGGATAGGCCATCTTAGGAATTAGGGTGTTCCAGAGCTGGGCTGTCTCAGGCTTTGGCAGTGGGTCAGCCTGGGGCAGGGCTGTCTCAGGACCAGCTCAGGTTCTGCTACAGCTTGGGACTGGCCTACCTCTGAGACGGGGTGGCTCTGGGCAGGGCTCTCTCAGGCCTTGGGATGGCCCCGGGCCGAGCTATCTCTGGCAGCTCGAGGCAGCTTGAAGTAGCTGAGACCTGGGCTAGCCCAAGCCCCGGGGCCTGCCCGAGGCCCACTGTGATGCTGGGAGCCCCCCACCCACAGGCCCTGCTGGTGTATAGCATCGTCAAGTACCAGCCCTCAGAGTATGGCAGCTACCGCTTCCCAGCCTGGGCGGAGCTGCTGGGCATCCTGATGGGCCTGCTGTCCTGCCTCATGATCCCGGCCGGCATGCTGGTGGCTGTGCTGCGAGAGGAGGGCTCGCTCTGGGAGGTGAGTCTGCCCGACCCCTGCCTGCCCTCAGCCTCCCCGGCCTGTGGCCCTGCCCTGGGCCCACCCCCTAGGACACAAAATGTCTGCACCAACACCTTTTCCAGAAACTGCAGGGTTCTTTTTACCCAAAAAGCATTTTTTCCTAACGAGTAGCCTGAACTATGAATCAATTCAGATCTGCTGGGACTGTGGCAGCCCTGGGGGCTAGAGTCCTGCCCTGAGGCCCCTTACAACCTTCGGGGCCTGCAGGGGGGCGGGTTGCACAATCCAAAGACCACTGATGTTGGCCGATGCCCACATGTCTCGGGGGAACCTAAAAGGCCAAGGGGCTTATCCAGTGCCCCATGAGTTGGGCAGGGCTCAGGAATTGAACTCAGGTCCTTGGCTTCCCTGTGGAACTCAGGGTCAGAGACAATATTGAGGGACCCCAAAAGGTGGGCTGTCACTCTCCTGTGAGCAGGAGCCCTGCCCCACAGCCAGGGCTTTGTGGAGAGATCCAGAAAGCATCGAGCATGCAAGCTGTTTGGCATGGGGATCTGCAGGCTCGGAAGAGGGGAAGAGGGACCTTTTATGGGCCCGTGGACATGCTGTGATACTGTGTGGCCACTGGAGATCCCGCCCCTCTCTGAGCCTCAAGTGCCCTCTGCACACTGAGCCGTCCACTTCTGAGGCCTGGGTGTGGAGTCCTCTGGTAGCAAGAGGCTATCATAGTGAGCGGAGCTGAGCAAGCCTGCTAGGGGCCCAAAGACAGCCTTGGGACGGACGGACGGACGGGCGGAAGGACACACACACACACACACACACACACACACACACACACACACACACACACACACACTCTCCTTCAGAGGTGTACAGGACCACTAGTACTGCTTTATCAGAGCTCATTGTTAAATATTCAGGAATGTTCTGAGCCAGCTGTTAAACCATTGTTGGCTTGAAATTGATGTCAGGCCTCTTGTGCCCCTTCACCCTCCTCCCCAGCCTGCTCACCAGCACACTACTGCCCCGACTCCTCTACACCCCACGGTTCCTCGGCTGTCCTTCAGCTTCTGGAGAGGGGCTCAGAGCCCTTCCTTGGCAGAAGTGGGCTGTGTTCACACAGCACAGACCACAGGGGAATCCTGGAGTCCAGCCGCTGCTCTGCCTCCAAGTGCTGTGTGACTTGAGGCAAACCCCTTGCCTTCTCTGAACCTTAAGAGCCCCAACTGTGCTACTAAAGGAAACTCGTCTCCTTGCATGTGAGCCACGGTGTCTGAGAAAGGAAGAAGGGAGGGATGTTGCTCAGGGTGGAGGCTCCAGCCCCCAGGAAGCTCATGGTTCCCAAGCCTTGCTTTGCCTCCCTCCCACCCTCCTGTCACCATCGCCCACAGCCAGGCTGAGGGGTCAGGTTTTGGGGGGACTGGTGAGCCTGTCAGAGGAGTCATTGCCCAGCTCAGGAGTGCCACCTTCAGAAACCAGGGTTCCGGCATGGACACACTGGGATCGGAATCCTGGGTCTGCCACTTGCTAGCTCTGTGACCTTAAGCAAGTGAATGTACCTCTCTGAACCTTGCTTTCTCCTGTTCTTAAAGCGAGGACAGTGATACCTGCCCATAGGGTTGCTGTGAGAAGAAAAACTCATCAACATAGTACTGTGAGAGGCAGAAAAGCAGAGTATTTTTGAATTTTCAGAATGGGGTCAGACAGCCTAGATTCAAATGCCGGCACCACCATTTCCCACCTGTGTGACCTTGGCCAACTTAATGTCTCTGAATCTTACTTTCAGATAATATCCATAGGGGTGGAGGTAATAATAATAAAAGTAATAACATCCCTCTCATAAAAATGCTGTAAGGATTAAATGAGCCCATACTTAGCACAGAGCTGGGACGTGGTAAGTGCTCGGTTTTAGGCCACGGGTTCTCACTTCAAAATCAGGGGGTGATTTTGCCCTCAGAGGACATTTGGCACTGTCTAAAGACAGTTTTGTTTGTCACAAGGGGATAGGGTTGGAGGGGGAATGCTACTGGCATCTAGAGGTCAGGGATCCCACTAAACACCCTTCATGGTACAGAGCAGCTCCCACAGCGGGGAGCCCTCCAGGTCAAAGTGTCAGCAGTGCTCTCGGATTGAGAAACCTTGGTAGGCACCAGTGTTCAGCAGGAAACAAATCTTTAAGCCCTTGCCCTCAGGGATTTTCATGCAAGAGACAGACAATAAACAAGTAAACACATGAAGGCAGTGGTAAGTGCAGTACTTAAAAGCAAACAAAATATGACAAAACCAGAGTATAAGAACAGAGAGTGATGGAAGATGGTGTTCCCGCCAGGCTGACGGTGGGGGAGACCTCTGAGGAGGTGTCAGAGACCTGACTAAATCGCCAAGATGATTGGTTTAGACGTCTAAGGGGAGAGCATTCCAGGCAGAAGGACAGTCAGTGCAAAGGCCCTGAGGCAGGAAGGGCTGGCCGTTTTAAGGCCAGCAAGGAGGTCAGTGAGACTGGATCAGAGAGGGCGGAGAAGGAGTGACCAGAGCCAAGATCATGAAGATAGACGGGGGCAGGAGTATTTGGATTTCAAATGAGACGAGAAGACTTTGGTAGGCTTCTGAGCAGCGGGGTAGCATACTCTCAATGCATTTTAGTGGGTATCACTGTGCTCTGAGTATGAGGCTGTGCTACGCCCTGGACTAGGGTACTGCTCACAGTATCTCCCATGGAATCTACACTCAGCAGGCTCTACTCCATGTTGGTTGTCTCCCTTCACTGAAGAGTCTGGGGCTCTTCTCCCTGGCAGGGCAGGCAGAGGGCTTTGGCAACGTGGTTTGAGGAAGACGGCCCTCGAATGTCCACGCTTAGTCATCATCTTAGTCAGCTCCCTCCTTTGGTGGAAACTGGGGCTCGGAGAGGGAATGGTTAGCATCAGAGTCAGACTGAGGCAGAATGTCAGAGACCTGGAGGTCGGGGACACTCTGCCTCAGTCCTCCCTGTGCACAGCTCCCTCCTCGGAGCTCAGGACTCAGCACTTAGGGGAGGGGACCCAGAGTGGACTTCTGGACTGACTGCCACGTAATCGTAACAAGAGCCACCGTTTACTGGGCCTTAGCTTGTTCCCAGCACCCTGCTGAGTGCTTCATTTTAGGGCCTCACTAACCACCTTTTAACGGCATCATGATTCCCAAGTTATAGATGCAGAAACAGAGCTTAAATTCTGTGCCCAGAGGCACCCAACTCGTGACTGGCAGGGCGGGATTCTCTCTAGGGATGTGACTTCCTCCCTTGGGGAAGTAGCAGTGCCCCTTCCTTTACCCCGGGTTGTTGCAAAGACTGAGCTGGGTGACGCGGTAAGGGTACTGCCCGGGAAGCACTCCGTGAGCTCTGGGTCTCATCGCTGTGGTTGCTCTGCTGCAGCGGCTCCAGCAGGCCAGCCGGCCAGCCATGGACTGGGGCCCGTCGCTGGAGGAGAACCGGACGGGCATGTATGTGGCCACGCTGGCCGGGAGCCAGTCGCCCAAGCCACTGATGGTGCACATGCGCAAGTACGGGGGCATCACCAGCTTCGAGAACACAGCCATCGAGGTGGACCGTGAGATTGCAGAGGAAGAGGAATCCATGATGTGAGACAGAAAGCAGGCAGACCAGAGGCCCTGCCATCCCCAAGCGTAGCTGTGCGCCCTCTGGGGTTCTGAGAGGCCTGAGGCTGTGCGAGGTTGCCATGGTGATGCCAGTTCTCGAAGCAAGTTCCTCTTTGTGGCCTCTGCCTCTCTTGAAACCTCTGTCTACCCCCCCCCACACACACACACCCCACCTGAGAATGAGACAGCACAGCCCTTCTCAGAAGGACAAACTGAAGCCAGGGAGGAGGGACTTGTCCAAGGTCACATGGCAGAGGGGACTGGACCCCAGGCCTCCTGACTAGCCAGCTCCCTTTCTCCTGTGGCAGCTGGCACCTCCCTCTCATCTCTGTTCAGGGCTCAGCCCCCTCCCTTTTCTCAGGGAGCCTGCCCCATACAATTCAACGCAGCCAGAATCTTAAGCCAGGCGGGGATGCTCAGGATGTCATGAGGCCGTTGAGGCCCCAGGCATTGAAGATTAGCAAATCGAGTGGGAGAAAGATCCTGGTGGGTTCATATGTATGTGCGCAAGTGCCAGGTTTTCTGAAAGACGTGGGACCTGAGGGCCCTGGAGGTTGGACGAGTTTGGAGAGAGAGAGAGGAGGGCAGTATGGAGAGGGCCTCTGGCCAAGGCACTGACCCAACCCAGGTGTGAAGGTCAGAATGTAGCCCCCTTCTCTTCCCCTGGGGCCAGGAGGCGCCCTGGGGAGAGACCAAGGGCATGTGAGCAGGGGGAGTGGCGGGAGAAACAGGTGTTACCAGGTTACAATAGGATTCAAGTGGGAATGAAGATTGATGGTGGGTTGGGGGGAGCCGGGGACGGGGGTGGGGGTTGGGGGGGTACTGGGCAGGGGATTTGCATGATCTGGTTGTGCTGTAGGTAGAACGTCCTGGGTCAGTGTGCGGGGTGGAACAGAGGGGACGTGGTGGAGGTGGGAGGGCTGCAGAGGGCCAGTGCCCAAGCTTGGGCGTTAACGGGTGGGGCTGGGGAAAGAAGGAGAAGCCCACAGCTTCCCTCTCTGGACCCCATGCCCTCCAGGGAGGGAGGCCTGCCCTGCACCGTGGCGGTGGGAACGAGGGGTCACAGTCGGAACCCAGGGCCCCTCTCTCCCCTTCTCCCTTGTCCTGGTGGCCCTCAGTGTCTCCTCCAGCTGCAGGAGGAAGTGACCTTGGCTGTGGACGATCAGGCAACTAAGAGACTCGGAGATGGTCCACACACATGGCTGTCTGGTCCCAGTGCTGCCCCCTCTACTACAGCGCGGGGCCCTGGGCATGGACAGGAGGGTGGAGGCAGAGAGCAGAGGGCAACTGACCCCCCAGGCCTATGACCAGAGACCTTGGCATCTCAACCCCCAGGCAAAGGAGGGGCTGCCCTGGGGACCCTCCTTCCCTGAGAGATGAGGGTGGGGTGGGAAAATGCCTGAGCAGCCTGCTTGGGGGGAGGTGGGGGTGGTGCGGGCGGCCTGGTCCAGCTGTCAGCCTCTGCGATCTGTCTCCTGGTGTCTCCCCAACTCATCCATGTTCTGTTGGTTTATTGTTAATAAACGCCAATGAGGTCATCTTCCTTACCCTGTCTCCTCGCTGCTGCGAGCCACAAGGTAGGCAATGGAGCTTTCTGGCTCCCATTGGACAGATCAGGAAACTGAGGCTTAGCTGCCTCCTTTCCTGACTCTCCTGCCTTGCGACACTTGCTCTGCCATTTCTCTGTGGCAGTGGTGGGTGTGTGGGGCTGAGGACGGATGATGAAGAAGATGAGGAAGGCCCTTAAAGA